AACAAAACCCAATAAGACAGAAAAAAAGTTTTGTGTATGCACAGAATATGAGCAAAAAAAAAAAATCCCAAAATGGAAGCTCTTTACAAATGAAAAACAGTAAATTTAAAGAAGCAGCCAATAATTAAGAGGTATAATATTTAACATTTCGGCTCTGGGAGTTTGGCTTCCCCTCCTTGCACTCACTTAGGAATATTAATAAAAAGGACTGAAGTTAAAATGTAAGTGTGTATGAGTATGTATGTATATATGCATACATGGGAAAAGATAGTATAATTTTGACCAGTCATAATTATCTCAAAAATAATGGTTACCAGGTTAATAATTGCATACCAGAATTTATCCTTTGAGGATAATGGCCACACATTGATGATTTTGATTTTAAAATCCTCTTTCCAAATACATCAAATCAAAAGGCACATTTTAAGATTAGAAAGACTTTGCTTTGTCTTTATTTCAAAAATGAGTCTTAATATGAAATCTCACTTAATGGTGGTCTGGTCTCTCAAAATAAATGAAAGAGCCATAGAAATGTTGCAGTCATATAGCAATGGGTATATATTTAGGTGTCAGTAATCTTCCCTTCTTGCAGAGAAGCAGCTACCATTTGAGGAATTAGATTCCATCTTCCCTACATTTACAATACTTTACCAATTAAATACTCATTTGGATTAGCAAGTAAATGACAGTTGCTGAGAAGAAAGCTGTCAGCCATTCATACCTTAAACCTAGATGTTAGGAAGAACAATCTGACTTCGGTATTTTATATTAAGTGAATTCTAGGATTTATAAAGTTATAGGGAGGGATAAGGAGCCTTTTTCTTTTAACTGCTTTGGTCTTAGAAAGGGGGAGAATTATACATACCTGAGTCTCCCACTCAACCCTTCTGCCTCACCCTGCCAAATTCAGACCTTCATTTAGACAGTAAATGAGGAAATCAGAGCAGATTCTACTCTGCCAACTTCTCTCCTTCCACCTTATACTTCTTTCCTTCTAAACCAAGACTATTTATACAGAATTGCCATGCAACACAATAACAATTATGTATGTATTACATATGTACCTGTGAAATTTATCACACTGTAGTGCAAGAATTCTACTATTTACTGGAATGCATTCAGCCTTTATCAATCCCACAGCATTTCCACCAACTTATAATTTACAAGGGAATCAGACAATATATACTCTTGTGACTGCTTTCCCACGTCTAAGCTTCATCTCTACATTTTCCTTTCTATCAGATGGTAAGATGATTTGTCCATCTGTGATATCAATTGGTACTTCGGGTTGGAAAACTTTTCTTGCATAGTCTACATGTCATACATTATATAGTAGTCACAAACAGAATTTTAATCTGAAGAAATCAACAATCTTCCTGGCTTTATCCTTTTATAAGAAATTTAAGAAGTTAAAAATAAAATATTGAAAGAAAAGATACACAGTAAATTGCTTATTGAAGTCTTTCAAGATACACTGTACATTTACTGCATTTGACAAATGGAATAATAGCCTGTAACAAGGATTCCCATACCCATGAGGTCTTTAGGATACTGCATGAATAAGATTTAGCATTGAAAGAATTGTCTTAATATTTATATGTAAGTACTATTATGCATTGTTAAGTACTTTCTAATCAAGAACCTATGGCCATCATCAAGTACACTTAGCATGAACTAGCAACTATGAAAATTTCTGTTTTTGAGGTGGGGTCTAAGTTCTACAGGTTGGTGAACCTCCTGCTTCAGACTACTATTAAACTAGGATTATAAGTGTATCTCAATGAACCTGACAAAAACTTCTTTAGAGGATGTTTGAGGACAAGCTTCAGACTAGACACCTTTGAAATGGTTTTAGCTTGTATGTAACTATACTTAACTGGATAACAGGTATCTCAAAATATAACAAATGGATACAAAAAAGAAAATTATCTTTTATTTATGTTTAACCAATATAATTTCCTGCTTTTGATTTGACCATTACAAGATAAATGAATTGAATAACATTAATTTAGGGTACCAAGAACGACATCTTTTGATTCACTTGACTAATGACTCAATATGAAGTAAAAGGGAAAGAAAAAGAAAGAAAACTAGGTTTTATGAGATAGTAGAAGTTTTTTTGACAGTAGAAATTTTATACTTGGTTTTAATGCTATTCCCCCTTCTTATTTCTATGAGGGGCAGAATGTGGGGGGTGCAGAGAGATAGAAAGTGCTCACAACAGGTGAAGACCAGGAGCCCAGAGGACTTTCTGGGTGGATAAAAGCAAAGCTCAGAGGCTACAGGCTACCAGGTCGGCTGAGGGCATAGCCCTGCACTCTGTCTAGGTCCTGGGAGCTATCTTTCCCAACCATCCCCCATACCATAAGATCTCTGCAAGGTGCAAAGTACATCTGAGATAAGCTTTCCCAGATGTACATTCACATGGAAGTTACAGTGTTTCCTATCCACATAGATAGGGTCTGTCACAGCCCCATGGAGGGAATGACAGCCTAGAAGAACTGGGAGGACAAAATTATCCACCAAGGATAATTCACATGCTTCCTTTAAACAAAAACATATAATCCTTTCTAGGAAAGGACATAGTAGCTGTCTGTCAGTTTACACACCCCCCTCACTCAGGTCCCCATCACCATGGCACATATACACCCCAAAATACCTTAGAAGAAACTGCCACCTCACACACTGAGATCACCCAGTACAATGCCTCCTTCACCACTAGCACATTCTTCCTTCTTCATCTCTCCTGGGCCCTTCCCAAATCCAAATGGCACAGAGTGCTTTTCCTTCTCAGAAATCTGCACAGGGCAAAGTCCCACATCACAAACTACAAAGAAACTGAACAGTTACGGTACTTTTCTTCTAAGACGTAAGTATTGGCAGATGAAGTGCACTCAAAGCAAATCAGGGGCACTGTCAATGTAGGCCCCCCCAGGAACCCTCTCTAGAACCATCTCTCTCCAAGAGCTTGTCCTTCTGCAAAGCTGAGGGCCTCCCTAGGCTTAAAAAAAAAAAAAAAAAAGAAAATCCTGAATTCATGAATTATATATTAAGATTTTTTTAAAGACTTTTTTTTTAAGTTGTAGATGGGCACAATACTTTCATTTTATTTATTTATGTAGTGCTGATGACTGAACCCAGTGCCTCATGCATGCAAGACAAGACACTGAGCCACAATCCCAGCCCGCTACTAAGATTTAAGAACACTGTAAGATCATCATCCAATTTGAAATGCTACTATCCCACAGAAAAAGTTCACTGGTAAAATTTTAAAGATTTACTTTTCAAAAGTCAGTATTCTACATAGTTACACTTAAGAAAACAGTTATCACCTATTTTTATAAGGTACAAAATGTTCGATTTTCCAATAAAAGACAACCTCCTTCAAAGGTAGGGTTCAGAATCAAGGACAGGGAGGGAAGAGTGCAAATAAGACCTGGATCCTAGAAGCTGGAATTTGACATTTGATCTGAGAAATCTACTACATACTTGTGGAAAACAACAATGGTACAAATTAAGGTTGGAGGTTTTTGCATTAAAAAGTAAGGTTAATCAGCTGACACAACCCTTATCACCCCTGTGGTTGCAAGTGGAAAAAAGCTTCATAGACGCAATTGTACAAGTCCAGAACAATGTGTCCTTGTAAATAGTGCAAGGTTTTTTTTTTCAGAGATAAAGAAAGCATAACTTAGAAATAATATAACTACTTACGCACAAAGGGAAAAGTTGACAGTGGTGATCTGAGTTAGGTTTAAGGATCTATTTGTCTTTCCACATTATGAGAAGGTAAATGAGCAGGAAAGGAAGCTGGGATAAGTTAGTTCTCAGTCTTGAGTCATGGTCAACCTTTAAAAACTTTAAAAACAAAAATGAAGCTACTGTATAACTACCATTTAAAAGTCAGGTAAAGTAATGTTACTTGATTCTGGAACATAAAATTTCTTATTTACATTAATTAACTGAAATAGATACTATAAAAAATATACATAATGCATACTGCTTTGCTGAAAACCATGCAGGTATCAGGCAGAGAAGGAAAAAAGAAAAAAAGAACAAATGTCTCTTTCACAAAGATTACTGTGTCTGCTCTGCACAGCTTCCACTCAGAGCTGAATTACCTTCCCAAAGAGGAGGTTCAAGGACAGGCCCTCACTGGTCTATGTAAGCTGTCCGAGTTCAGCAGGGTACACACTTGAGGAGCCCCACTCAAAGCCAAGTAGCAAATGGACAGTTTGAGGAATTGCAAAAACTGCTGCAAGTTGTTTCACTGATGTGCAATATGGGAAAAGATTCCCAGAGAAAGGGAGACTTCCATTTGACCTGATAAATTCCTTAAAAATGCTTTGATGGGAGAGATGTTCAAATGTGTTAACAGACACTGGTACCACTGAGTCAAAAGCACTTTGGATGACTGATAGGTCTCAGCAGACAGGACAACTCTTTCCTTCAAATTTTCATAGACTGTCTCTACCCTCTACCTCACGGGAAGACCTCTGCTCTTCCTCTTCCAACATCCTACATTTTCAAGATATTCTTCTAAACCTGATATTAGGGCAACCCTAATACCAGGTTTAGAAGACTGTTGAGCAGATTCCTTTCTACCAGTGGAGGTAGCACATAGGTGCTTTCAGATTATACATTTAGAGTGTGTATAGAGCTTGCATGGGTACACACAGGTCACGTCAGCATTCATCCTTTAACTTACAGCAAGGACTGTTTCAGTTACCAACAAAACAAAACACCCAAAGAAAAGAATAATTCCCACCCATGATTGGAATGTGACCTGAGGACTTGGAAGCAAATCTGTCCTCAAGCCAGGTACACAAACTGAAAACCCCCACTTTCCCTTGAGAAGACACAATCTTGAAACTTGTGCCCACTTATGATGAAGACTGTCTTCCTTCCCCTCTCTTCAAATTTAACATTCTGACATCACAAATGGCCTCTAGGCACAGGTACAAAAATATGTGCAGCCCATTCAAGAAGCAGGCACACATTACTACCAGAAATGTCCAGATGAATGTCCCAATTCTTTATTTCATATTACCAATGCAGAACTCACTCTGGTTAAGAATCCAGAATGGGGGTGAGGGATCAATAAAACCAATAGACTTCATTTCCACATCCCAAGCAGCTAGGATTAGTGGACAGACAGGGAGGAGATGACTATATAATTCTGAATTTAAATTAGAAAAGACAAAGTTCACTGTAACTATTTTCCCCTGGACTTCTACTCCAAAGCCTTCTCACACAGTCAACCTGAGAGTTTCACCATTTTGAGGTTGGTGGTTTTGTGAGCATGAGTTTTCTGTTATTGGTGTTTTACATTTGTTTGAAGGTATTTACTTGAGAGGGTCATGGGGGCAATTTTTACAGAAGCTTTTAATATAGTCATATGCAAAGGTCAGGTTGGCAGCAACTTACTTTATTCTGTTTTTCAGGCCTGAAAGGATAAAAACCGAAAGACATATGTGCCCGAGAGTGCTGGAGTCCCACTAATACACTACAATCCTTCCCTGGAGCCAAGAGAGAAAATCTATTCAGCTCCCTGGATAACCCTGCCCAGCCCTACAGGAGGCCCCAGTCTCATGACCAACTACTAAAGGGTGCTGATGGATCTAGGGCATTCTGGTGGATATCGAAATGGCATTTGGGGCTTAGGGAATGTCATCATCAACTGGAAATAGTGCCATTTCAATTCTCAACACTGGCTCTGAGGAATCCTCAAGTGGGTGAGCAAGATAAGGCATGCCTAAGTCATGACCAGTTCTCCATGACATAATAAAAGGATAGGATAGCAACAGCATGGAGAGTCCTCACATTTCAAAAAGATTCTTCAATGGCACAGCCACCTGCTTCTTTATCTCATGACTAGACACATGGCCTGGTCACTGGCCTGAGTAAAACATCTTACCAAACAATTCCAAACAAGTCCCATGAACAGGGGGAAAAAAAAAAAAAAGCATATGCCAACCTGGATTTTTCCCCAAATGCAGATAAAAGACATGATATTCTTTTAACTAAATTAAAGAGTAAACATGGAGACTGTCTATGAGCCCAGGTTCCCTAGAACCTGTGAAAAGACTAGAAGAGGCTTATAATGTTTATTTGCTTATTTGCTCACATGCTCTCAGACATACAATTGAGCACAAAGCAACCATCTCACCAAGCTAAAAAAGGCACAAGGCAACTCCCTGGATAATGTTCCTTCAACTGGGTAATGTTTAGAATGATTTAAAGCCTTTTTTTTTTCTTTTAATGTCTTCATTAAAAAATGTTTTTAACTCCATAGTTAACAATTAAACTACAATGGAAGGACAATTTAAAACAGTGCAAATCATTCTTTGATTCAGTTAAATGAGACAAGGAAACTAGGTTATACCTTTAAGTTTCCCTCATCTTGTTCTAAGATTTAAGCAAGTGCTGGCCCTAACTGCCTGGAATAAACAAAATCTGCATGAAGTTCCACTTGTAGGGATACAAAACACTCATTGTGGACCTGGGCACTCTTGTTGACAATGCTTGGGATGACCGAGGCTATACTAGCTGAAGCCCAAGTGTGGTTTTTGGGAAGTCACAGATCAAGCACTGAAAGGTTGGGGCAAAAGGAGCAGAGCCTACATGGGAGCAGGGCAGCAGCTGCAAGGAGAAGCACTGACAGACCATCCATAATTGGATTAGACAGTGGAGACCAGCAGCCCTAGCTCCTGCCCCTAGGCCCCACCATGCTCTAGCACAATGGTTCTATATGTGTGTTTTATTTTAAGGAAATCAACATCTCACTCCAGATGCACATCATGGATCCTTTATTGGAGTACTTGCTTGGTCAGAACTATTTCCCCAACTACATAAGCTGGGTATTAGGCCAGGAGGAATGTCAAGGAAAAAAAAAAATACTGGTTACTGAATATTACCATTAATGATAAAATAATAACGGGCTAGAATGCTTTATTCACATTATCTAATCCAATCTTCAAAATATCTCCAAAGGTATAATATTTATCCCTAATGTATTGATGAAGACTCAGGGAAAGTTCCAAAGAATCTCTTGGAGCCACAGTCTATTGGAGCCAAAAACCATGCCATTGGGACTGTTCACCACTGCTCTTAGAATTAGTTTTAAAAAAGTAAATTTTGCTACCCCTCTGTGCAGATATTATTGTTAACTTTGAATCACTTGGCATTGAAATCAGTGGATATTTTCTAGTGACTTCATTACTTGATGTTCCTGAGTGCATATACACCTACTTCTGTCTGTGAGGGGAATAGGGGATTGTAACAGGAGACAGAAAGAAGGATAAAGAAACTCAGGTTCAAAGGAACTGCAGGTACCTGTCTGCTACAATGAATTCTTGGTACAGTCTATTTTCTCTAAAAACACTCAGTATGTACAAAAATTAGATGGGATTTCTGTAACAACATGTCAGTCTTATGAGTCAGAGGTTAATTACTGTAAGATACCAACCAATCAAGTCAAATTTCAGTTGCAAAACTGAATTTTGAAACTGTAATCATAACATTACAAATGACTAGGAATTAGGAACTATTTCTCTTGTTTAACAGCTTGCTCCCTTCTAAACACATATGCATACACACACATACTTAAGTGTATTCATATTCTTTCTGGTTTGATATAAAGTGTCAAAAAAATTAGGCATGTTGTAAATATTCAGTTTTATATAAGGGATCAGAATTACAATAATTCAGGCAAAGAATGTTCTCAAAGTAGAGCCTAAACTAGAGCATGCAGTCAAATATGAATTAACCCTGCCTAAATGGCTCAGAAAGAACATTTTTATTTTGGTAGCAATAGGGCAGTCATGAATACCATCTACACATAGGAAAAGGCTTAGATATAGAAAAACATTCTGCTCTTTAAGAAAGATAATATTTTCTTAAAAAAACATGAAAATTCTTCTAAAATAATGAACAAAGCAAGGATATCTACTCTCACCATGCTTATACAGCCACTGCAATAAGGCAAGTTGAGAAAATAAAAAAGCATACAGATTACAAAGGAAGAAATAAGTCTGTCCATAGCATGATCTTAAAGGTAGAAACTTCATGAAATTCTTTCAACAAAAATCCTAAAACTAATAATGAAGTTCAGCAAACTGTATCTCTATTAGCAATAAATGAGAAATTAAATACCTAGGCATAACTCTAACAAAATATACACCGAATCTGTATGTTCAGTACTACAAATACTATAAAAGAAACTGAAGAAAAATGAAATAAATGGAGAGAATATCATGTCCAAGGAATGAAAGAATTCCTTCTGAAGATGTCAATTCTCTGCAAACTGATATATAGAGATGAATTGTAATTCTAATAAAATACCAGCAAAAAAATGTTTAAAAAAATGCATAGACAAAATTATTCTTAAATTTAAACAGAAATACAAGGAACAAAATAGCTGAAACAATTTTTTTAGAAATAAAATGTAGCGGCTGGGGATATAGCTCAATTGGTACACTACTTGCCTCACATGCACAAGGCCCTGGGTTTAATCCCCAGTACCACCAAAAGAAAAAGAAAAAGAAAGAAATATAATCAGTCTACCTGATTTGAAAATTTATGATACTATTATTCTACTCAAAATTATGTGGTGCTATCAGAGAAATAAACACATAAATTAATGGGACAGACTAAAGAACTGGTAAAACATCCACATAAACACGCATGAAAAAGTGTTGCTCTTTTTTAAATTGTGCTGAAATATGCTTTTCTCAAGCAAAGAAAAAAAATAACCTCTAAGTCTCAGATCTTACACAAAAAAATTAATTCATAATGGATCACAGACTTAAAGTGTTAAAAAGAAACTATACGATTGTTAGGAAGGAATATAGAAGAAAATCTTTGGGATCTAGTACTGAGCAAAGAGCTCTTAGTCTGGTCATCAAAAGCAGAAATCATAAAAGAAAAAAACTGAAGTTAAGACTTCCACAAAATTAAAAATTTCTATTCAATGAAAGACCCTGTTAAGAGGAAATGGTAAGCTGCAGACCGGCAGAAAACATTTACAAACCCTACACCTGACATAGTGTAAGAATCTAGAATATAAAAGGAACTCTGAAAATTCATAAAACAAATTATCCAATTAGAGCAAAACACATGAACAGATGCTTCTCCAAAGAGGATATATAAATAGTAAACAAACACATGACAAGGTGTTTGACATCATTAGCAATCAGAGAAATGCAAATTAAAATCATTGACAATGAGTTATCACTCCACATCTATCAGAATGGTGAAACTGGGTTACTCATACATTGTTGGGGGGAATGTAAAATGGTACAGCCACTCTGGAAAAACTGTTTGGCAGTTTCTTTAAAAGTAACCTTGTGGGGGAAAAAATAACCATGCCTCTAGTTGCACACCGTAGTAACTGCACATCCTGGATACTTATCCTGAAAAGTGAAAACACTTTCACCCAAAAACCTAAATGCCAAAGGTTGAATAAGCTGTGGTACATCCATACCATGGAATACTATTTGTCAATAAAAATAAATGATGGTTGATGCATTCAATAACCTAGATGAAACTAAGAAGAACTGCGCAAGAGACTGGGGGGTGTGGGTGGGAAGCAACTAATTCCCAAAGGCTACATACTATACAATTTCATTTACAGAACAGTCTTAAAATGACAACATTTTAGAGATAGAAAATGAATTCATTGTAAACAGAGGTTAAGGGAATAAAGGAAGGAGAAAACAGGTAGGTATGGATATAAAAGGTAACATGAGATTCTTCTGTGTTGACAAAATATATCTTAATTATATCAGTATCTTCATTGTGATATTGTGCTATAATTTCACAAAATGTTTCTACTGGGATAAATAGTGTAGGGGAACCTAGTATTTCTTGTAACTGCAGGAGAATCTATACATTAACTCAAAATAAAAGTTAGTTTTTCTTTTTTTAATGGTAGGGGTGTGATCCCAACAACAAATAAGTTAACTTGCTGTTTTCTAGCAGCCTAAGCAGACAGCTTCTTACCACATCATCCTGATGTAGGCTGTCCAGATGGAGAACATATTCTGCCTATGTACTGCCACTTCATCAAGAAGTCAGCTCCAAAGAGGTTAATTTTTAAGTCTCTATTTAGAAATCCCAACTTTAAGCTAAATTACATTCTTAGCAAAAGTACTATTTTGGCTATAATAGTTTAGGATTATATACTATGAAATCAATAAACTAAAGGAAAAACTCAAACAATCACAATAATTAGCATAAAAGAATTTCTAAATAGATTATTGAGTAACTTTCTGAAAGAACATTACCATTTAAAACTAAAAGAATGTCTATCCAAAACATATTTATTACAGAGTTATTTGTAAAACTAAAAAATTGGAAACAACTTAAATGTCTAATTTGAAGTGATTAAAGAAATTGTGTCCATCTTTCCAGCATTATGCAATGGTTTAAAATAATAAGGCAGATCCACATGTCCTAACAGTGAATGATAATCAAGGTAAATTATTATGCTGGGGGGAAAAAAGATACAGAACAAGCCAAAAGAATGATCCCGCTTAAGTCTTTAAAACTATATATTAGAATATGTGCACATATGATGTAAATAAACGAAACTGAATATTTTCAATATTATCTGTAATGAAGAATTTAGGGGGAGGAAGATGACAACACCAAAAATGTATTCATTATATTAAAAATACAATCAGAACACACAAATTTAGATTTCTAACAATGAGTTGGCACTAAAATAATATTTGTTTTTAATTTAATTCAACTGTGAGGTAAGGAAAAGGAAAAGAGGTTGGTTACTTTCTTTTATCCCAAAGTACATGCATATACTGGGGTTTTTATCCAAATTTGTCACCAAGTTTTGGTCCTTCTTAAAAAGTATTTAGATGAATGACTCACAAACTCAAGTCTTTCAAGGAATCCTACAAACAGGTTTGAGAAATGCTATTTAAAACACAAATGGGAAAGGAACAAGGT